GCTGACATGTGATGTCTCCCTCAGACACCCAGCTTTAAAATTTCTCTCTCTTGTACTCTTTCCCTTTATTTCTCAGACCAGCTGACACTTAGGGAAATAGAAAAGAACCCACGTTGGGCCGGGCACAGTGGCTCAAGCCTGTAATCCCAGCACTTTGGGAGGCCGAGACAGGCAGATCACGAGGTCAGGAGATCGAGACCAGCCTGGCTAACACGGTGAAACCCCGTCTCTACTAAAAAATACAAAAAACTAGCCGGGCGAGCTTGCGGGCTCCTGTAGTCCCAGCTACTCGGGAGGCTGAGGCAGGAGAATGGCATAAACCCGGGAGGCAGAGCTTGCAGTGAGCTGAGATCCGGCCACTGCACTCCAGCCTGGGCGACAGAGCAAGACTCCATCTCAAAAAAAAAAAAAAAAAAAGAACCCACATTGAATATCGGGGGTGGGGTTTCCCCAGGTAAGAAGCCACTTTATGGCCCAGAGAAATTCCAGGGAAAAAGGATTATATTAATTGATAACATCATCAACAATGCATGAAACATCATCAACATCTTCTCATACCTGGTCATTACAGGATAATCTTTACTGATTAGTGGGTAGGTAGCATGTTATTTGTTTTGGGATTGGCACACTTGAGCCTTTTCCAGGCTTCCATGGTTGTATATTCTCTTCTTTGGAGTGTTCTCTTCATGTCCCATGATCACTGATTTGTAGATCTTTATGCCAAAGTTATTGATCTTTCTTCACTGCAAATACTTGTTCCAGTCACTACTTTTTTATTGGAAAGCGTCAGATTATACACAGAAATAAATTCCAGGCAGACTAAAATGTTTTCCAAAATAATAGAAAATTTGAAGAGAACCGTTTCAAATTCTTAGTAGCTGTTAGGAGAAACAATTTTAAAAGAAATATGTATGTATTTTTTGTGACAAGGTCTCACGCTGTTGTCTAGGCTAGAGTGCAGTAGTATGATCACAGCTCACTAGTCTTGAACTCCCAGCTTCAATCAATCCTCCCACCTTAGCCTCCTGCATATCTGGGACTACAGGCGCAAACCATCACACCCAGCTAATTTTTTGTTTTTTTTTTTTAAGAAGCATTTTCACTGTGTTGGTCTGGCTGGTCTTAAATTCCTGCGCTCAAGCGATCTGCCCACCTCAGCCTCCCAAAGTGCTGGGATTACAGGTGTGAGCCATTGTGCCCAGCCGAAGAGAAGTATTTAAATACCTAAAACGGCCGGGCGCGGTGGCTCAAGCCTGTAATCCCAGCACTTTGGGAGGCCGAGACGGGCGGATCACGAGGTCAGGAGATCGAGACCATCCTGGCTAACACGGTGAAACCCCGTCTCTACTAAAAAATACAAAAAACTAGCCGGGCGAGGTGGCGGGCGCCTGTAGTCCCAGCTACTCGGGAGGCTGAGGCAGGAGAATGGCGTCAACCCGGGAGGCGGAGCTTGCAGTGAGCTGAGATCCGGCCACTGCACTCCCGCCTGGGCGACAGAGCGAGACTCCGTCTCAAAAAAAAAAAAAAAAAAATACCTAAAACATACAGACTTCTGAATAAAACAAATCCAAAATAAAGGTGGAATGCTGCCAACAAATTAGAGGCAGCAGATAATGGTTGAGAAGGCTGCTATCAGCATGAAAGTTCAGGGCCCTGGCCTTTGATATTATATTCCAAAAAGGTAGATAGCCCATATGTTCCAGTAGGTCATGTGCCACCTTTCTCCTTGGAGAGAAGGAAGTGAGTGGCAAGAATACATGGCCTGGGAATCCTCCTCAGAAAGAAGGGCTTTGAAGCCCACTTTCTGGCTCCATGGACACCTGAGCCTGCATTCTTGCCAGTGGATCAATGGCAGCCTGACACAGCAAGAACAGGCAGAATGATATTAAGCTCACTTTAAGAAGGCAGGAAAACAAACTATACTTTTTGGAAAGATTTCCCTGAAAACCCTAGGTCACTGGAATCCAGAATAACTTGTACTGTGTAACTTGTCCTGTGATACACAGTCTTTCTAAACAAATGTCCCTGTGTATTGAATTTAACTGAATTATTCTCCTCTTAATTGGAATATGACTTTGTCTTTAATGATTAGAAATTGGGGCCTGAATAGTAGAGGGCACTGAGCAGCTACTACTGAGTCACATGCCAGCTACGGACTCAACTGACATGGGTTGGCAGCTTCCCTTCACAGAAGATTTAAGATAGCACCAGAGTGTTCTCATTTTCTCTCTAAATTAACATTGATGTGATCTCAGGTTTCTGGACTTTCACCTCAGTGATCTCATCTAGGAACCTGAGTGATCTCTTCGCTCTGAAGTAACAACTCAGTAATCTCAGTTCCTCTTTGGACTATTACCTCAGTGATCTCAGCTCCATTCTGAAGTAACATCTTAGTGGTCATAGCTTTTCCCTAAAGTAACCTCTTTTTAAAGCATCACCCCTGGTGATCTCAACCTTTCTCTAAAGAATCACCTTAGTGATTTCAGCCACCTCTGAAGTAACACCTGTGTGATCTCAACTCCAGTAAACAACTGGATTTGTTTCATCTCCTTTCTAAAGTAACAGCTTAGTGATCTCATTTCCTTTCTGAAGAATCACATCAGCAGTCTCAGCCTCTGTTAAGTAACATCTCTGGGATCTCAGCTTCTAACACCTGAGGGATATCATCGTGGTCCTGAATAATACCTCAGTAATCTCAGCTCCTCCCTTAAGTAACACCTCACTGGTATCAGCTTTTCTCTGAAGCAGAACCTCAGTGATCTCAGCTCCTAAGTAACAGCTCAGCATTCTCATCTTTCTGATGGCACAATATAGTGACTTCACTTCCTTTATGAAATAGCAGTGACCTCCATTCTGGAGTTTCACGTTAGTGATTTCAACTTCTCTGAAGAGACACCTCTGTGATCTCAGCTTCTCTGAAGAATTACCTCAATGATCTCTAAAGTATTACCTTAGTGATCCCATTTACATTATTTCAGCTCCTCTGAAGTAAACCTCAGTAGTCAGAGCCACTCTGCAGTACCCATTAGTGATGTCTGTTCCTTTCAGAAGTAACACCCAGTGATCTCACCTCCTCTCTGATGAAACACCTCAGTGTACTCAGATCCTCTGAAGTAACACAGATTGTCTCTCTTTCTGAAGTGACACCTCAGTGATCTCAGCTCTTCTCCAAAGAAACAGTTACACTCTTGTCTTCTCTGAAGTAACACCTTAGTTATTTCATCTATCGGAAACACCACCTCAGGGAATGGACGATGCCTCTAGAGTTAACACCTCGGTTACCTGGGCTAATCTGAGATTTCATTTCAGTGATCTCAGTCCCTCTGAAGTAACATCTCAGTAATAGTAGTTCCCCTGGAATTTCACTTCAGTGGTTTCAGTTGCTCTGAAGTAAAACACTAGTGATGTCAGCTCCCTTCTCAAGTTAACAAATCAGTTACCAGTTCCTCTCTGGAGTTAATACCTCACTGTTGTCAGTTTCTCTCACCAGTGTCTGTACACAGAAGGGGGAACAAGCTTTTGTCTACATCGTGGTGTTTTGCTGTGGACTTAAGGATCAATGCCTGGATGGGCACAGTGGCTCATGCCTGTAATCCTAACCTTTTGAGAAGCTGAGGTGGGAGGATTGCTTCAGCCCAGGAGTTCGAGGCAGCGGTGAGCCATGATGGCACCGCTGCACTCCAACCTGGTGACACAGCAAGACTGTCTGTGAAACAAACAAAAAGGAACAATATCCTAGTGCCTATTTCTTCCCCACCAAGCTGACAGATGTTGGGGGTGGGGGCCTGGGGTGAAAACAGCCCTTCTCTATCTCAAGCACTTAACATGTTGAGAATTTGAAGTGGCTTCAATCTCATACATTTGATTCCTTTGTAGCTGGCTGCTACCAGAAATGGTTCTGATTCAGTTTTAAGAACTGTATCCTTGGCCGGGTGCGGTGGCTCATGCCTGTAATCCCAGCACTTTGGGAGGCCAAGGTGGGCGAATCACCTGAGGTCAGGAGTCCGAGACCAGCCTGGCCAACATGGTGAAACCTCATCTCTACTAAAAATACAAAAATTAGTCGGGTGTGGTAGCAGGTGCCTGTAACTCCAGCTACTCAGGAGGCTGAGGAAGGAGAATTGCTTGAACCCAGGAGGCGAAGGTTGCAGTGAGCCGAGATTGTGCCATTGCACTCCAGCCTGGGGAACAGGAGCAAGACTTTGTCTCAAAAAACAAACAAACAAACAAAAACTTAGAATAATTCTGAACAAATACAAATTTTTAATTATGAATAAACCAGATTCATCTTCATCATAGTAATATGGCAATGGAATCTAGACTCTTGAATCAGGAGTAAAAAAATGAAAAAAAATCAAATAAAGGAACAGAAATATTAGAGATAGTAAAAGAGCTATCTGAATTTGAGAAATGTATGTTTTAAATATATCTACCAAAGAACAGTATTTTCAGCATTTTTTGGGAGAAATACCATAAGATGTAAAGAGGTACCCACTTGGTGTAACAGCTATGAGGTCTGCCGAGTGTGAAGCTCCCCTCCTTTGCCTGCATAGGAATTGAGACATCCTATGGTTTCTGGGGCACAGGATCTGCAGGTCATAAGGGCAGGTTTTGAGGAAAATACCCATTTTTGAGTTGAATTTTTACTAAAAAGTTAGCATATCCTTTCTGATCTTGAATAAAGTTAAAGCTCCAGATAAAGGGTTTTCTAGGCCAGGCATGGTGCCTCATGCCTGTAATCCCAACACTTTCGGAGGCCAAGGTGGGCGGATCAGTTGAGGCCAGGAGTTTGAGACCAGCCTGGCCAACATGGTGAAACTCGTATCTACTAAAAATACAAAAATCAGCCAGGCATGGTGGGGCATACTTATAATCCTAGTTACTTGGGAGGCTGAGGCACAAGAAAAGCTTGAATCTGGGGGCGCAGAGACTGCAGTGAGCCAAGATCATGCCACTGCACTCCAGCCTGGGCAACAGAGCAAGACTGTCTCCAAAAAAAAAAAAAATTTTCTAAATTTATGTAATTTCTCATTAATATATCTTTAGACTTTTTCCTTATTTCATACAAAACAGGTGTTTCTACACACTTAGGCTTTCCATCCATTTCACATGATACTTGATGAAAATATCTTTTTATATCACTTTATCCATATAACACTAGTGTTTTAAGAGAATACTGAAAATAGTCCAACTTTCAAATTTTAAGTGCAATAATTAGTATGGTTAATTGACATTTAGGAAGGGCATGTAATGTTCTTAGAAAAAGAACTTTATTTGGAATGTAAGATTTTATTGGGATAATAGTTCTTATGCCTTAAATTCCCTTAGTTCAAATAAACTAATGTCAAAGAAAAAATTATGGCTGTTTTTACCAAAATTCACTACAATTTTATGATTACTCTCCAATATAACTTCAAGATGTTGAGGAAAATAAAACAGGCAGTCTCTGAAGTTTTTCCACAGGAACAGCATGCTAAGTGCTTCTTTTTTGAGTTATTTTGTGACACTGAATCACCAAAGAAAGGCTTCCTATAGAGTTAACAGAAACTTCTCTTGGGCTGAAGGCTGCTTGTGGTTCCACGTGCCGTTTCTGTGAGAATGGATTCTTGTGTCAGCCATGGGTCACAACTTTCTGTGCACTTTCTGGTGCTGGATTAGGTGGCCGTGCTGGTTGAAGGCACGCCCACACTCCCCGCACTCATAGGGCTTCTCGCCTGTGTGGATTCGCTGGTGCTGGATGAGCACTGAGTACTGGCTGAAGGCCTTCCCACAGCTATTGCACTCATAGGGCTTCTCGCCCGTGTGAGTCCTCAGGTGCACAATCAGAGTTGCTTTTAGGCTGAAGGCTTTGCCACATTCTGTGCACTGGAAGGGCTTTTCACCCGTGTGGATTCTCTCATGCTGAATCAGAGACCGGCGTGCACTGAAGGCGTGCCCACATTCACCACACACATAGGGTTTCTCCCCAGTGTGGACTCTCTGGTGCTGGATCAGGTGTGAGTGCTGAACGAAGGCCTTCCCGCATTCGTAGCATGCATAGGGCTTTTCCTCGGTGTGGATCCGCTCGTGATTCATCAGGGTGGACCGGTGGCTGAAGGTCTTCCCACACTCACTGCACTCATAGGGCTTCTCCCCGGTGTGCACGTTGTGGTGCTGAATGAGGACTGAGCGGTCGCTGAAGGCCTTCCCACACTCGCTGCACGTGTAGGGCTTCTCCCCGGTGTGGATCCTTTGGTGCTGCAGCAGTGTCCTCTTCACACTGAAGGTTTTCCCACACTCATTGCACCTGTGAGGCTTCTCCCCAGTGTGTACCCTCTGGTGGCTCCGCAGGACAGTGCTATGGTTGAAGGCTTTCCCACACAATGGACACACGTACGGCCTTTCTCCCGTATGGATCCGCTGGTGCTGAATGAGATGTGAGAGCTGAGTGAAGGCTTTCCGACACTCAAGACATTCGTGAGGCTTCTCTCCCGTATGTATCTTGTGATGCTGAGCAAGATCTGAGCTCACTCTAAAGGCTTTTCCACACTCATTACACTCATAGGGCTTCTCACCTGTGTGAATTCTCCTGTGTTTACTAAGGACTGAGCTCTGGCTGAAGGCCTTCCCACACACATTGCACACATAGGGCTTCTCTCCAGTGTGGATACGTTGATGCTGAAGGAGGTGAGAACTCCGGCCAAAGCACTTCCCACACTCAACACACATGTAGGGCCTCTCTCCACTAGGCACTGCCTGCTGTGGAGTGAGTGGCACGCTTTGGCTTAAGCCCTGAACTTCACGGTGGTCAACAGAGCTTGGACTCAGAAAGAAGCTTCGCTTTGTTTCATTATTTTCTTGATCAATCCTCCCCAAGGGTGTTTTCCCCAGAATCACTGTTTCCTCTGAAATTAATGGCTTCGGACTCAAGTCTGTATTTTGATTCTCTCCCTTGGTTTCACATTCTGAAAGAACAAATCCAAAATGAAAATGTTAACGCTACTCAAAACTGAAGAGCTAGTGCAACACTGAAACTGGCCTTGCTGATGAAGGTGCAAAATCCCTCAACGCACATGTCTGTGTGAGCTAGAGAGGAACAGAACCACCATAACTGTGTCAAACAACTAGAAATCTGAAGATAATGTTTCCAAACGGGAATGTGCCAAGGCTAATAGTGAGGTTTAAGAAAAAGGTGTAAACTCCAGTTTGAGGTCACACCCCTGTGTGGGGTCCACAGAACAGCAGGGCAACAGCCCAGTGGTGCCTGAGCTCTGCCCTCCCAGGGGTCCTCATGTGGACAGAGCTGAAATGCAGGCCCACATAACATGGGTGCCCTGTGGGGCAGACAGCAGCACTTGGGCAGGCGTGAGGTGTGAGCTATTGTGAGCAAGTTGGGGGGTGTCATCTGGAGACCAATAGACATTGTACATGAGGTAGGGGTGGTGGTGCTGTTACCTCTTTGTGGAAAATAATTCCTCTCTTTTTTTTTTTTTTTTTGAGACAGAGCCTTGCTCTGTTATCCAGGCTGGAGTGCGGTGGTGCCATCTCGGCTCACTGCAACCCCCACCTCTTGGGTTCAAGCAATTCTCGTGTCTGAGCCTTCTGAGTAACTGGGATTACAGACCACGCCACCATGCCTGGCTAATTTTTGTATTTTTAGTAGAGATGGGGTTTTGCCGTGTCGGCCAGACTGGTCTTGAACTCTTGACCTCAAGTGATTCACCCACCTCGGTCTCCCAAAGTACTGGGATTACAGGCGTGAACCACCGGGCCTGCCATGTGGAAGATAATTTCATGTGCAGAATGCAGTGGTAGGAGGAGGGGAGGGAAGGACAAGACTGAAGGTGCAGAGGGACATAATGGGAATCTGCTGCCAAGTTTAGGCCACAGATGAGACCTTCAGGAGCAGCAGCACAGATGGCGGGAAAGGCTGGAGTGGAGACCCTTTGGGGAGCAGGTTGAGTGCTCTGCAGGCTGACTGTGTGTGAGTGGGTGGGAGGTAAGAGGTGCTGAGGACAACAGTGATTTTTTTTTTTAGAGGAGTCTCGCTCTGTCACCCAAGCTGGAGTGCAGTGGCTACTATCAGAGCTCACTGCAGCCTCAAGCTCCGGGGGGGGCTCAAATGATCCTCCTGCCTTTGCCTCCCAAAGTGCTGGGATTGCAGGCTTGAGCCATTGTGCCTGGCTCTAAACATTATTTTATTTTATTTAGTTATGCATGTTTCTGAGCTTTCTATAATTTCATGGAGCACAGTCTTCTGGAACTTGTTTTCCCGTCAGCATTATGTTTTTGAGATATATCATGTTGTTTACAGCAGTTATTCAATCATTTTCACTGCAGTATTTTCCATTACGTTAAAATACCATAGTTTATGTCTATTCTGTTTATGAACATAATTTTTTTTTTTTGAGACGGAGTCTCACCCTGTCACCCAGGCTGGAGCGCAATGGCATGATCTCAGCTCAATGCAACCTCTGCCTCCCGGGTTGAAGTGATTCTCCTGCCTCAGCCTCCCTGGTGGCTGGGATTACAGGCACATGCCACCATGGCCAGCTAATTTTTTTGTATCTTTAGTAGAGACGGGGTTTCACCATGTTGGCCAGGATGGTCTCAAACTCCTGACCTTGTGATGCAGCCGCCTTGGCCTCCCAAAGTGCTGGGATTACAGGCATGAGCCATGGCACCCAGTCCTGAATTATTTTTAAATTTTTTTTAAATCATGGAGCACGCTTCTGTGAAGGTTCTCCTATGTTTCCTGGTGCTTACACACAAATGCCCTTGCTGTATACATATGCAAGAGTGGGAAGTGGTAAACAGAGGAATTCATGTTTTCAATTTCAGGGTTTTTTTGTTTTTTTTTCCTTCAGTTTACCTCCATTCTCTCAGAATGTGGTATTTTCAATTTCATTGGATAATGCCAAACTTTTCCAAAGTGACTATGTGAATTTACATCCCCATTAGCTGCCCTACATCCTCACCCACATGTGATATTGTCAGATCTTTCTATTTTTTCCATTCTGAAGGTGTAACATCGTGTCAGTGGTTCTGATTTCCACTTTACTGATGAATAATGAGGCTGAGCAGTTTTCTTGTTTATTGGCCCTTTGGTTTTCCTAATCTACGCAGAAACTTGTGCCTACTTTTCTTTTTGAGTATTTGTGTCTTTTTATTCTATTCAGAGGAATTTATTTATTAAGTGTATTGACAAATTGAAACAGTGAGAATTTAAGTTTTTTTAATTAAAAAACTTAAATTCACTATCTTCAGTTTAATTTTTTTGAGACGGAGTTTCATTCTTATTGCCCAGGCTGGAGTGCGATGGTGTGATCTCAGCTCACTGCAACCTCTGCCTCCCAGGTTCAAGCGATTCTCCTGCCTCAGCCCCCCGAGGAGCTGGGATTACAGGCATGCACCACTACGCCCAGATAATTTTTTGTATTTTTAGTAGAGATGGTGTTTCACCATGTTGGCCAGCCTGGTTTCGAACTCCTGACCTCAGGTGATCCATCCGCCTTGGCCTCTCAAAGTGCTGGGATTACAGGCGTGAGCCACCGCCCCCGGCCCAGTTTAATACAATTTTTAACATATCTCATTTTAGAAAGTTACTCTGTGTGGGTTTTTTTGAGACAGGGTCTCACTCTGTCACCCAGGCTGGAGTGCAGTGGTGTGATCATGGCTCACTGCAACCTCCAATTCCTGGGCTCAAGCCATCCTCCCGTCTCAGCCTCCATGTGGCTGGGATTACAGGAATGCACCACCATGTCTGGCTAATTTTTAAATTTTATTTTGTAGTGTGGGGTCTCAGTATCTTGCCTAGGCTGGCTACCTGTTTTTTAAACTGATAGAAGTTTTAGTTCTTTCTTTCTTTAATGTATAAACCTCATCTTCACAGAATAAAAGCCTATAGGCTAAAGAAATAGTTACTCATTTACACTGAAAAGTATTATTTCTATTGTCTGAAGTTTCACCAGGTGTGGTGGCTCATGTCTGTAATCCCAGCACTTTGGGAGGGCAAGGCGGGAGGATCACTTGAGGCCAGAAGTTCAAGACCAGCTTGTGCAACATGGTGAAACCCCGTCTCTACAAAAATTAGCTGGGTATGTTGGTCTACACCTGCGGTTATAGCTATTCTCGGGAAGCTGAAGTGGGAGGAATGCTTGAGCCCAGGAGGTTGAAACTGTGGTGAGTCATGATTATGCCACTGCACTCCAGCCTGGGCAACAGAGTGACAGCCTGTCTAAAAAAAAAAAAAAAAAAAAGGTTCCTGAATGGGTGGCTTCTTACCTGATGACAAGATGGGCAAGATGTCTTTAATAATGAAACATAGGCCAGGCACAGTGGCTCATGCCTGTAATCCCAGCATGTTGGGAGGCTGAAGCAGGAGGATTGCTTGAGCCCAGGAGTTTGAGACCAGCTTGGGCAACATAGCAAGACCCTGTCTCTACAATGCACTCCAGCCTGAAACACACACACACACACACACACACACACACACACACTAAACTAACTGTATAAGAGATTACTCGCTCAATCGTCCATGGCACGAAAGCATCATATGACTGTCTGTGAGACAGACTCAAGTTGCTGTGAAGGTCAAACTTGCCTGCACCTTGCATCCATACTACGCAGAAGCTGGACTTCAGCCAAGAGTCACTTGCTTTTAGAATGACAGTTGCAGTTACTGTTTTAAGTATAAAGTAGGGAAGTATGTTTTAAGCATGACAAAAAAAGGAAAAAAAGTGATTTCACGGATATAAATTTTTAATTATAAAAACCCAGTAATCTCTCTAGGCCTACTATGGCTCACAAGAAAAGGAAAAATGTTTTAAATATTAAAAAACACAAACAGCCCCTCCCTGGTGTTTTGTAGCAATTGTGTGAGTTGTTTAACACGCTTCATAGCACCCTGAGTAGCCTCTACATTCTTGTAGAACATGAGCATTAACACCTTCAGAGATTGTACTGAATTAAAAAGATCAGGTATACACTTACCCCATGGACAAGATAAACTGTCTTGTGTACAGGCTGTAGTGTGGTCACATTTGAGGTTGTCTGGAAAAAAAACAGCAAGTTGAAGTGACAACAAAATACTCCCTTCAAGAGTGGAAAATCCTGGCCGGGCACGGTGGCTCACATCTGTAATCCCAGCACTCTGGGAGGCCGAGGCGAGTGGATCACTTGAGGTCAGAAGTTCGAGACCAGCCTGGCCAACATATAGTGAAATCCCATCTCTACTAAAAAATACAAAAATTAGCTGGATGTGGGACGTGGTGGTGCATGCCTGTAGTCCCAGCTACTAGGGAAGCTGAGGCGGGAGAAAACCCTGGAGGCAAAGAGGTTGCAGTGAGCTGAGATCGCACCACTGCACTCCAGCCTGGGGGACAGAGCAAGACTCCATCTCTCAAAAAACAAAAACAAAAACAAAAAAGAGTGGAAAATCCTTTCATTGCCATTACAACGTGTAATTTACTGAGTTATAAACAGCAGAGGCAGGGCTGGGCAGGTGCACCCACTTATCCATCCTGAGGAACTGCCAGGACAAGACAAAGGCATATTCTACTCCTCACCTGCTCTGATGCCAGCGGCAGTAATCCAGGTTGTGGCAGGTGGCTTCTGCTTCTATGCACATCAGTAATCTAAAACTCACTCAGTCCCACTGTCCTCTGTGGCCTGTGCCAGAGGTGAGGTGACCAGGTGCTTCTGTGAAAAAACTTCTCATCTCCAACCAGCCATGCTCCCAGAGAATTTCAGTCTCTGTGGTATCAAATTCAAAGGGCACTCAAAGGGAGTTTAAGCTCTCCATCAGGTGAGTACATAGCTGGACACAAGAGCGCCCAGGACTGGTTTGGCAGCGGCGGCAAAACGCCCTCCTGTGTTTTCTTGCCTCCTACAGGTGCAGTCAGCAAGCAGAAGTTCTATGCAAGATTTCCAAGATATGATGATGTGTCTTCTAGTTTACAGTCACTTGGAAAATTAAATTCCTCTAGGGCTGGCATGTACCTTGTTCCTCTGAGGATGATCTGATTTTGCAGGCCAGGAAGAGGTAGACTGTAACACCTGCTGCCCTATCCACATAAAGCTACTTCAGAAATGAGGAGGAGCTTTCAAGGGGAAAACCACCACATCTGAAACGCCGAAGCTGATCAGCCAGTGGAGGTGTTGCCCAAACTGTCCCTGCTCACCCTGCATGGGGCACACTATGGCAGGACAGGCTGACGGAGGTTTTCCTAAGACTCAGACATCACCTTACTGAAGTCAGAGGTTCTTTGCCTTAAGCAACCACAAACACGAACTTTAGGGTTGGATCTATGCACCATCTTTCCTTTTATAATTTTTTCCATCTAAAGGTCTTGTACACCTTTTGTTAGATTAATTCTTGGATACTTTATATTCCTGATGCTATTATAAATGTTATCTTTTAAAATATTACACCTTTGCTGGTTGCTGACAAATATAAATAAAATATTTTTGGCCAGGTGCAGTGGCTCATGCCTGTAATACCAGCACTTTGGGAGGCTGAGGTAGGTGGATCACCTGAGGTCAGGAGTTCGAGACTAGCCTGGCCAACATGGTGAAATCCTGTCTCTACTAAAACTATAAAAATTAGCTGGGCATGGTGGCGTGGACCTGTAATACCAGCTATTCAAGAAGCTGAGGCAAAAGAATTGCTTGAACTGACCAGGCACGTTGGCTCACACCTGTAATCCTAGCACTTTGGGAGGCCGAGATGGGTGGATCACGAGGTCAGGAGATCAAGACCATCCTAGCTAACACGGTGAAACCTCGTCTCTACTAAAAATACAAAAAATTGGCCGGGCGCGGTGGCTCACGCCTGTAATCCCAGCACTTTGGGAGGCTGAGGTGGGCGGATCATGAGGTCAGGAGATTGAGACCATCCTGGCAAACACGGTGAAACCTCGTCTCTACTAAAAATACACACACACAAAAAATTAGCTGGGCGTG